TAATTCTAGTAATTTGTATCACAATTTGATGATTGCGTTAATCCAATCCAAATAGTTGTTGACTTTAGTATAGAAACCAAACTTTCCGGTTCGGCCGCAGCCCTCGCCCCACGACACCAGCCCTAAGATAATCCATCGGGACTTATAGGGGACGACAAACGGGCCGCCGGAGTCGCCCTTACAGGCGTCGCCCAACACTTCCTTCCCATAACCGGCGCAAAACATATTAGCGGTCACTTTGAATGCCGTCGACTGTTTGCATTTGCTCTCCTCCACGATCGGCACACGGAGTTCCTGGAGATACCGGGGCTGCGGGCCGTTCTCCTTCAGCTGACCCCAACCGGTCACGTGTCCGATACGGAGGGCGCTGTTGGGCCGCAGGTAGTACTCCTCGGTCTGCCGGCGCTCCCGCTTATCGATGACACAAACGGGAGTAATGCTGGGCGTGAATGAGATGTGTTGTGTCAACCGAACCAACGCTATGTCGTTGTCAAACGTGTCGCGACTGAAGTCCGGGTGACGAATCACTTCCGCTATTTTGGCCACAACTTCGGTCTCTTCGGTCATTGTTTGGTCGTATTTGCCGAGCTTTACGTCGATCGCCGACTCGGAGCCCGTCTCGAAACAATGGGCCGCCGTTACTATCCATCGCTCGTTCAATAGTGCCTATCGATTGATGATTGATTTTTAATCCATGATACTTTTTGTTTGCTAATTAATTTATCCTATGTATAGACTACATAATACAGTACATAGTACTAGCTCTTGGTTAGTCAAAAACTAGCTTCAAATAAAATCGATCCACCTTATAGCCTTTAGCATCTTCTATGATATAACTATTATACTTCTCTAAAAACTTTTGAATTTACAAAAACATCACTTAAAAAATGGCAAAATTACTCAATTCAAGGCTAACTCGTGATATTCTAAGTGTTTTAATTTTTAAGCTTATAATCGATTATTTTTGTTAGATTTTGCAGCAATTAATTATAATTACTATTAATTGATAAGAAAAATGTGAAATAACTTATGAAATGAATGCTTACACCACCGCAGAAGGCTTTGCGTCGATAATCCCAGAACATGATGTGCCACGGCTTCAGACATCAATCATAATTAACATTAATATTAATTCAAATAAAAAATAATTTCAATCAATACATACAAACGCCGATTTCGTGGCCTCAGTTCCGCCGATCACTTTGGCCACGTCTTGAGTCGCTTCGTTTACGTGAGAAATACCGCATATATTGGCGATATTGACGCGTCGGTTGACACTAATCCTGGCGCCAGACTTCACGGCACAGTCTTCGGACTCGGGGTTTGCGATACAGAAATAAATGCCCGAATCCTCGCTCTCCGCCGGATCTAACAGCAGATATCCGTTGTGTAACTGATTTATACGGGAAATGTTGGCCAAACTTCGGCCATCCTTTTCCCATTTGACTCTACTTCTGGAGTCAACGACATTACACTCGAGCACAACAAAGTCCCCTTCGCTGACACTCTGGTCTTTGGGCCGCTTTCTGAAGATGGCTGCGGGACAGTTGGTCTTCTTGGACGTGAGCCACGCCTCTCTGTAGTCTTTGCCGAATTTGCAGATATATCTGCCCTCAGAGGTGGCGGTAAACTCTTTGATGATGAGTGTCTTGCCATTGGGCGCCACACCACTGATGATCTGTTTGTCATTCTTGAACCAAGTGATCGGATCGTTGGTCAGAGGCTCGCAATTCAACACATGAGTGGAACCACTGATGACCGAAGCGTTTACTGGCGCTCGCATTACTTTTGAGCCGATAATACGGGGCTCTTGACTGTTGGCGTTTAGATACGTGACTCTTGACGTGAATCCGGGATACTCTGCGAAGTTGTCGGAAATGAATTTCAGTTTAATCGTCCGATTTTTGGCCACATATTTGAATGGTTGCGAAAAGCGGCCGCAAATGATACGCGTGGCCGACCTCTCGGTCTCCCATATCTCGAGTCTGTCGTTGTTTTCGCATTTAGATCCGGCCTCGAAGTGAATCCAATCAAACACAATGACCAGCCGTTCCGCTTCCGACGGCGAAGTGATGGACATTTCGCAGTTCAGGTTCGGAGGATAGTTGTCGGGGTAATTGGGACTGTCCAAGGTCATATTATTCCAATTCACTTTCCAATTGCACCCAAAACTGGATGAACTGCTGTACTTAGAAGTGGTCACTTCCGCCCGAAAGCCCCGATTGTTGAGCAATTGGTCCGAATGGAAGTGAAGAAGTAATACACTCCCGACGGACTGCAGCGAAAGTGTCACTCCTTCAGGCTTTTCGCACAACTTTCCCAACGAGTTGTTGGCTGTGGACGAGTCGAACACTTCGAGGTAATCGTAGGCGCAATGGCTGTCGTGCTCTAACAGCAGTGTCTCGAAAGTGACCACCAAAGAGGTGTCGTCTTTGTCGGCGCGGATTAGTGTCCAGCAGTCGGTCGAGTCGTCGTAATTGTTGGGATATTTGGGAGAAGTGACGAACACATAGTTTGTGACTTTCAACTCACGGACACAATCCTGCGATTCGGTGATAATCCGCAGATGAAAGCCGAGGTCTTCGTGGTTGGAGTCCGACCGGAAGCGGAGGTCGACGTGAGACGAGGGAACAGTGATCACCGAATCGTTGACTCTTCCGCACAGTTTGCGCACACCTTTAATGTCGAGGAAATCAAATTTGCACGACTCGTGACTCTCGACGTTGAGCCGAAAGATCTCGATTTTGATGGTCTGTCCCTTTTGGGCCGTTATATTCCATCTGCAGTCGACATTTGATGGATATTTCGATGGATATAATGGACTCGTGATCTCTTCGCTGATATAGACCAACACATTTCCGCCGCACTTCACATCACTTTTCTTATTATTCGTCGATTTTGAGTCTTTTATGGGAACAGGACTCGTATTGGATGTGTCTCTCCTTCTGCTGCTGGACTCCACTCGAGTCGATATCGAGTCTAAAATATCTTTCCGTAGATTTACATCATTTTTGGCCGAAGAACTCTTCGGACTGCTTATCACACGCTCTCTCGATTCAGGGCTTAAATCTCTAGCTCTGTTCACTCGACTGTTGCCTCTTGTGTTACTGACGACACCCACCACTGAATCCTCCCTAACCATCAAACCATCAAAACATTTGTAATAAACCGCAATGATTTGTTAATTGATGCGTTAATTTATGGCATTCATTAACTAAAGGATATACATGTATACTATTGTATTATTATTGCCATTATTGTAATTTTCTAGTTTTGCTTGTTATCAAACATTTACAATTGTAATTAGACTTAAATTTTTACTATAAAATTTATAATTTGTTGATGTCACTTAAAATATATTTTTCTTATTAAATACCTCAAATTTATTATTGTTTTATAGAAATGATTAATTATTTAATTATTTTTACATTAATTCTAAATTCTTGGTCTAATTTATGTTATTCATGAAAAATAAAATTCAAAATAATGGTCACATATTTGAACAGATTTTGAAAATTTTCATTTCATAGTAATTTATTTATTTAGGAAAGAAAACAAAACTATGTTTGAAATTTATAGCATATTTAAGCGAATTAAATATGAATTATATTTAATTCATAGCACAAAACAATGAAAAATAAATTAAATTATTAAATTAATGAAACCATAACTTACTTTAACGCGGCGTTAAAATTGGCAAATATTGACAAATATATGATAATTAAATAAATCATTGTTTTTAAACATTTTGGGCTCATATTTGTGTTTCACGTGTGGTTACAGCCATCCAAATGGCATTGGAGAGTGAAAAACAAGTTTTATTCAATTGTGACGTTTATTAACCATATATTTGTGACACTTCTTAAGACAAATCGACTACTATTTGCTCGCAAAACACTTTTTAATAAATTTCTAACAAAATATTTCTTGTTTTATGAAAAACTATTTTCCAGAGAAACGGTTTTTGAAGCAATAGTTAAATTGCAAAAATTTGAAAAATTCGTAGCAATATTTGAATTACTGATTGTTGGCAATGAAATTATGAATACTATTAAATACAATACAACTCTTTATACATGTATTTTTTGGGTCATATTTTGTCTCGTGTTATATCAATGAGTGAATCGTTATTTAAATATTTCCCAATGAAATAGTATTTCAACGAGAATTATGTTTGACAGATATATTTTACACATGTATTTACAAATTATTGTTATATTTATATCAGATTTAACTTATAAAACGAGTATAAATTTATGCTATCATATTATAATTGGGTATTTCTATGACTGCCCACACGTTTGCAATTTAAGCTTATTATGTGTTTTGCCACAACTATTACATTCCTGTATAACATGATATTATAGCGAGTATTTTCATTAATGATTTATTATATAAATTGATATTTTATTTTTGTAATTTTAGTTTTATTACTCGCATATTAATTATACCTATTTATGAGGTTTTTTGTTAGTTTATAGTTTTCAAAAGCTTTTATAATAATTGTCAATTCGTTGCAATAAATTACTTTTATATTTTGATGCTTACATAATATAATTGAAATATTTAATGATGTTTTGACAAATATTGCGAATATTTCTTAATTAAATATATTTAGAATTGAATTCATATAAAATAAATAATTATTACTATCAATACTATTACACCAAATAACTTAACAAATATTCTTACAATGGTTAGAAATATTCACTATAGACTTACTATTCATTTAATTAAAAAATTAATTATTAAGATTCCAAAATAATATAAACACAAGTATTTGTAATGAAAGAATAAAACAAATACAAGAATATGGTAAATTTTTAATATAACTGTTTAATTTCCTAGAATAAGACTTAACTATTTTCTCAATTGTCTTCTCTAATTCCTTTTCATTCTTTATACTTATTTACATTTATATTAATTATAAGTGAAAATTATTTTATTCAATTAAATATTTATATTATAAAACAAATATTTGTCTGTCCATAAATAGATTTAAATTTTACATACAATTTTTATTTATATAAAATATTATTTTAAAATATATAAATGATTATTAATTATTAAACATAAATTCAATTTCCTCTATTTTATAGCCTTTTAAAAAATGTTATCATAGAATCAATGCAATGCTATTTTAATTGAAAGCTTCTAAACATGTAAACCAATAATTATTAATTATTAATAATATTTATATTAAAATGTTTTAAATCTAAAAGTTTATCTTAAATATTGTTTGAGAATATTGTCATCTAATAGCAACTATCGTATGACAATCCTTCACTAGATTTGTCTATATTTAGCGGCATTTCTTATTGTATGAGAAAAGTTGTTAACATTTTTCGATATAACAAGTGGTTAACAACTAAACAGATGGCGATAATCGGCGGATCAATTGATGGGTTGTGTTGTGTCTAGTGTTGAGGACAGTGTATGGACTGAACGCATGCACTCAAACCTATGCAACAGAATCGGTGGTAAAGACCTAAACCGGCAAAGAGTCGGTGCACTACTCGTGTAATCATGGAGTTTAGGGCTTGTATTATGAGCTCAACTCACTCTCAGTCTCTCATATGAAGTCTATTCGCAAACTCTGTTATCAATTGATTTGATGCATGTTTTTAGTCAAACCATATATTAATTGCTATTAGAGGTAGTTTTTTAATTAAATTTAAATAACTCAAGCCATACAATTGGCAAGAGTTGTGTTAACACACTATCCTATCATATGATTAACATCTCATAATAGACCCAAGGAATCAGTGCATTGGTATGTATGGACTTTTCATTTAATATCTTTCATATGAAAACATGTCTCTCAATATTTTGCATATCAATAAATTGTCTAATATTTTTCATAACTAATAATAATGCGAAAACTTCTTAAATATTAATTTCTTAGACGTTTTGGACTCAATATTCGTGAAGAATCCTTACGTTAAGTTAAAGAAGTAAAATAAATGGTTGTCAACCAAACAGATGGCGACAAACACCGGACGGTCTAATCGCTGGGTCGGCGACGAGACGCTCAATGCTGTGAACGCATGCCCTCTGAAGTGCACAACAATCCGATGCCGGGTATAGAGAGTCGACGCGTAAAGCATTCACTCA